TTTTAAACAAGGTAGCATGGCTTTTTTTGTCTCTATGTACTTTATCGATTTCTGATAAATGACAGTTATGGATAATCTTAATGGCAGTCAAGCTTCCGGCTGGGTTGCTTATGCATAGCTCAGTGCTATTTCCAAGTGTGTATGTTTAGAATAGGGATATTGGTTTTCAGTCTTTCTGGGAAGGAAAACCGTGGCTTCTGTGTTCAGTGCCTAGCACTACGTTGCTACTAAATATCAAACCACAGTACTGTAGTCTAATTTGGAGTGTTTCTATACATTGAGCTAATTGTTCATTTTTTTTAGCTAATCTGAATTTCTAACCTGTTGATTATATAAAGTTGCTAGCCTTTTTTTTTACTACATTCTCTTAACGAAGAGCCAATTCAAACATGCAGAAATAGCATGTGGCAGAACGCTCTAAAGTTTAAACTATGTAACTTCAGACTGCAGGTGGAGGGTTTTTGAATGCTCTTTCTTTAAAAAAAAAAGATGGCATATTGAAAAATCATGTCAAGAACCAAGGTTTGAGCATAGTCTCAGATGTGCTAATTTGTTATGTGTGGAGCAAGGGAGGTTAATGAAGGAACATCGAAAAGATGTATTCATCATCCTGTAGTCAAAATTAGTACTTATGGGAAAGTCTGCACCATATTTGCATACCTTAAGAAGTTGAAAGTATTGTGTAGCTTGGTTGCATGATCTGTGAATTGTCAAGATGCTTTGCCCTTGTATGAAACTTTAGATGGCTCAAATCCAAGTTTCTTCCAAATATGTGTTCTCAGGATGGGAGTTAATCACTGTTTCTCCCTTGGAAAACTATGGGTGCAGCTTATTTACAGTAGATAAGATAAATTTGCAACCAAGAGTACTACATACTGAATTAGTTGTTCAGTCTGAAAGCAGCAAATGTTTCTGTTGACATATCCCCATTTATTTTTGAGCATAATCTTTTGCAGTCTACTTGGATGTTGTAAACAAACATCTGTTATCAATTATCATAGTTGCATAATGCTTTGTTGTTTGTGTTACAATAATTCATTAGGAATGTTTCTTCTTCATCCTGCTTCTATTGGCAATAGTCCTAGCACAGTTAACTGGTTTAAGATTGCAGTACTGTATTATGCTTTCTGCAAGACTTACTTGGAAGTAAGCCCTGCTTAACTCAGTGGAACTTAAATTCTGAAAAAACATTGATCAAGATGCAGATATTTGAGTCAAACTTGCAATCATCTCTCTAGATATAAACATTTTGTTTCATATTATGTCCAGATAAGTAAAAAGTTGTGCATGCAGACTCCTTTTTCTGCCTTAAAAAATTGTCAAACATACTCAATAGTTTTCAAAATAGTTAATAATTGTATGTGGGTTTTGTTTTTCTATGTGTGTTTTAGTTTTCTTTTTTTAAACGAAAGACTTCAAAGCAGAAGAATGCACACAGCTGTGATGAAAACAAACTTGAAAATCTTCCTCACAGTGAGCAGGAAACTGGCAATCAAGGAGACTTACCTAAAGAGAAGACAAAAGACGAAAATCAGAACCATGCTAAAGAAAATCAAAAGGAGGCACCACATCAGGCCAAAAAGACGTCCTCTACCTGTGTAATACTTTGATGTTTAAATTTATAAAGCTTGCATAAATGTGGTGTCATAACTGGCAGCTTGCAAGCGGATACTGCAATTTATACTTGAAAATGATAATGGCAGATATATAATGATCATATTGATGGATTTTTTTTTGTAAAATTAGCATGTTTCAACTGATTTGCATTGATTTTGGACCAACTTCCTAGTATTTATTTGTATTAATATTTTTAGTTACTGCAACAAAGATGAGTATCACAGTCTTACTGAAATGTCGTGGCCTTAACTCTGTGTTTTAATAAAAAAATATATTTTTGTACTTCAAAGGTTGGGTTGAGATATATTATTGGGTTTTTTTTATAAACAAATTTATCATTTGAATCTACAAGTTATAAATTCACATTGCAGTTGATTCAGGAAGATAGCAGAAGAATACTTGTTAAGTTACATTATTCTTTGAGATGAAGATGTTAAAAACTGTAATAGTTTAGGACCAGGATACTTGAAGACTACTGCCTGTTAATCAGGAGATGCCCTGTTTTGTGTTAATCAGGTAAAAGCACTGTGGTGCCCTGTCCTGGAAGATTTCTTTTGGTCTCTTACCCAATGGAAATCAGTGTCAAGCTGATTTTTTTGTTTGTTCTAGTTGGATGTTTGCTGAATCTGCAGGAGGTTTGAATGTCAAATTCTTGGCTCTCCTTTTTCTCCTGGTGATCTGAATATGCATTGTAATATCTGCCAACTTGGTGTTATTTTTATTCATACTTTTGTTTTATATCTGTTTTATCATTGTTTATGGTTTGTGAGCAGTCTTTAGTTGCCTCATACAGAGGGAGAAAAGTGTCGTTTTAAAACCAAGTGTTTCCAATAAATAAGAAACAGGCAATTTAGAGAACACTCCGCTCTCAAGAGGCTTACAATCTAAAAGCCAACTGGGGAAATGGAGAGAGGGAGAGATGAAGGTCTGCAGATTTCCATTACATGTACTTAAAGCTCGGTTAATTGGGAATTAGGATCTAGTAGACAAGGCATGCTGAAAAAAAGAGTTTTGAGGAATGATTTAAGGAAGATAGGTGTCACCGTTGATGCAATTGTCCATGCATGTACTTCTCTGCATTTTTCTTTCCCGAAAGCCCAGCATTTTGCTCCTACAGTGGCTGACCAGATATGTCTGGGAAGCCCACGCGGAGGTCACTTTGCCTCTCTTACTCCACACTGACTGGAACTGAGGCAACCTCTATGTCCTTGTTGAGAAAACCAAACTGGCCTAAAACCTAGGCAGTGCTCTCTTCCGTCCCTGCATCGGAGCAGGAAGAGTTGCTAAAGGCTCCGCTCCCCGTGAGTGGCGGCAGGATACCGCTCTACTGGTGTCGGCCTAGGGCTAACGCTGGAAGAAGTCCCGCCACACACCAAAAGCTCCTGGGCGGCGGGCATGTCTGGGAAGGCCTCAAGCCTTTCAGAGGCAGGAGGGGAGCCCGCAGGCATCCTTTCTGTCTGGCGCGCGAGACCATCGTGGTCTGGATTACAAGCAGGGCTGACGAAGGGAGGGGGAAACCCAAGCGTCCCCTTGAGCAAAGCAGGAGGCGGCTGGGCGGGTTGGTGGTGTGCTTGACCCTTTCCAGGCTCCTGCTTCTCCCGCATCATAAATGAATTGATTCTGCAAACGGCCCGTGGAGGGAAAAGACATTTCGAAACCACAGTGGAGGAAATTTATTTTTTTAAAACTGGCGGAATCCCAGCGCCGAGAGAGAGTTGATTCGGGAGCGTTGCACGAGCGCTGCTGCTAGGAAGGCGCCCCTTTGGGGCCACCTCAGCCTCCCTCGGCGCTGCTTTGCAGCTGGGCTCGGCGTCCTGCGCGTCGCGGGTGGGGAGAGGAGGAGGAGGAGGGAGGGCTGTGGAGAAGAGTTTCAGCGGGAAGAGGCTGCGGAGGGAGGAGCTTGCAAGGGGAGCCCCTCTGCCTTCTCCAGCCGCCCGCTTGCTCCCGGCTCTCGCGTCGGCCGGCAGCCTTGCAGTGGGAGCCGAAGGGGCGCCAGGGCGAGGGCAACATGCGGAGCCCCTCCGTCTGCTTGGCTGCTCTCCTGCTGGCGGTGGGCGCGCGCTTCAGCCTCGCGTACCAAGGTAGGGGGCTCAGGAGAGGGGGCGGAAACCGAGGAGGGGGGCGGCGGGGATGCATTCGGGACCGCGCGGGAAGGCGGCGCCTCCGAGTCCACGCAAGGCGCCTTCGAGGAAAGAGACGCCGCCGCTTAGTCTTCGGCTGCAGCAACCTGGCTGAAAGTTCCGCCCAAGGTGGGAAAGCGGCTGCCGACCCTTGTGAGGGACGCCCCGAAATAAGAATCTAGTGTGCTCGTCGTGTGGGTTTGCAATTCTTTTGCATAAGAATTTCCTTTCAGAAACAAAGCTTCTAGTAGTCTTGGGGCGTCAGTTGCTGAAGGCTGCTTGGGGGGTGGGGGGGGGGAGAGACTTTAAAAGTCTGCGCGGGTTGACTCCCCAGCCGGTGCTAATCTTTCGGGCAACGGCGGTCTCGTCCACGCAAGTGTTTCACACAAACCTGATAACTTGTAAATGCACCTAACACCTGTGTGTAGTTAAGAGTTGGCTTCAGTCTTATTCTGCACGTGAATGCACGTGAGTTATGTGGTACATACGTGTATAGGAATAATGAATGACTGGCAAACGCTTCAGTTAGCCTTGTATCCACCACTACATACAAAGTACTGGCACACAGTTTAAATGTGATGCCTGGCATGGAAACCGTACCAGAGCATCACATCAAAGTCAAGTTGCTGTGCCTGCCTGAGAAGTGTTATCACACTGGCATGGCATACTCACCGATGGACCTGAAGACCCAGTTTAGACTTCCTCCCCCACATGGATCATCTGCAGTATATAATTTTAAAATATTGTATGATGTCATGTACAGTTGGTTATAGTGTGGTGCTGATAACACCAAGGTTACAGGTTCAATCCTGGTAAGGGACAGCTGCATATTCCTGCAATGCACAGGGTTGGGATACTTTGAGCTTCTGGGTCCCTTGCAACTGTGATTCTATAATATTAGCCAGGTCATACCAAAAGCTGAATCCTGTGTGTGGCAGTGAATGCATGCAACAAGCTCACCATGGTTCGAGTGCCAAAATATAGCTGTTTACTGTGGTTCTGTGAATAAAACCTGATCATTAGCCTTTAGTCAGGATAGTTTCAGCCTGCTGATCCTGCGTGCTAAAGGCAGGGTCCTTTGGGCTAGATGTTCTTGTCTGGTTTGTTAACTGGATTATAGGCTATGTTCAAATCCCTGTTAAGTGGCAGCCTCCCTGTGTGGCCCAGGGACAGTCTTCAGCCTCAGTTCTGTAAAATGGGAATTCTACTGATTTACCTCACAGGGCAAAACTAAACTATATATTTTTAAAAGCAAAAATCAAAGAAAACCATAAGCATTGATGCAAGAAGGAGCAAGATAAAACTATAAAATGCTTTTCTTGTTAAAAGTGCTAATTAGAGTATATTAGGTCCTTTGATCATGATGGGTTGTGGGTACCCAATGTACTATATTTGGCTTTCTACTAGTCTACCCAAGGGGGCTTCTGCTTGTGTTTAAATGTATGTTGGTTGTTGACATAGGACTATGCTGAATAAATCTGGTACAGAGTTGCACACTTGCTATTTCATAGCTCCTTAATCTGATTCTCATGAACAAGTTAGTTTGCTGTCATCTCTCTTTCTGGAATAGTTTATAAGAGCAGAGGATGCGTATGTTTTGTATGAGGAGGACCCTAGCATTTTTCACTAGTGTTGGACGCTCTTGGGAATTGGCTGTTTTTAATGGCAATACAGTGCTGGGAGAGGCTTGCAAGATGACACAGGGTGTTCTAATTTCCAGGAGCATAGTATTATGTGTTTTACACATGAATGCAAAATAATAGTTTTACATCCCTCTTTTAATTATGTTGTATTTGTAGATAGGCATTTTTATTGTGTGTTCATTAGCCGCTGGGAAAAATGCATTTGTTTTATTTATTTTACGATATAATCTCCATATCAGTGCAGTTTATAGCTTATGAAAAATGTAAAACAGTGGCCAATAAAACAGCATCATATATACACAATAATACAATAGCCTAAAACACCTATGCACAGCAGTTAAGATGCAGTCATGTTTTATCATCCAATTGCTTGCTGCAATAAAAAAAGTCTTTATAAGAGCATAACTGGGAAGGAGAGTTCCGCAGCATGGTCACAAAAGACCATATTGTGACCATATTGTGTTCCTTCTTTTCATCAATCAAAAGTTAGATAAAGATGGGATTTGGAGTAATCTCCCTATGATGTAGGGAAGATTCCATGGGAGAAGATGCTTCTTGAGGTAGTCTGGCCCAGGTTATTTTATGGCTTTCAAGGCTAGAACCAGCACCTTGAATTGCTCCAACAAGCTGAAAGCTAATAAAGTTCTTTAGATACCAGTGCTCTGTGCTTGCATTTGCTTATTCTTGGTAATAAGTGAACTTATGAGTTCTGAACTAAGCTAACTGAAGTTTGCAAACAAGTCTTCAAGAGCAGCATCAAACAGAGCACCTTCCATAGGGTGGCGATCTCCATAGATAGCTCACCATTCTGTAGCACTGGCCTCAGCTGGCATATCAAACTGAGGGAGTGAAAAGCACTGTTGCCTTTCGTTCCAGGAGGAAAAGCCAGGCTGAGGAGTACGTTCAACCTGCTCATCTTACAATTCAGAGGAAGTGCAAGTCCATTTAACCGTAAAGGGAATCACAAACTTGCAAACTAATCAGACTCAACTTGATAGCGCTATCTCATCTAGATTGAACTTTGGTTTGCTCACCCTCATCAATTGATGATTGCTAATCCCAGGCAGCCATTTATGACAGGGGGAACCTGTGGCCCTCCAGATGTTGTTGGGCTCCAGTTCTCATC